TTAATTGTGTTATTTAGTAAAGTTTTGTTGAATCACAGTCAACTACCATGGCTCAAATGGTGAAAGCAATTAGAATGATTCTCGGGAGGGACTTATTCGGTGCAAAACTGAAACAACTGAAAAAAAACTCGGTGGATATTGAAATTGAAGACGATGTTCCAAGAAGAAAACCATCATTAGAGGAGATTGATGCCTTAGAGGTATTTTTGTTCCATTGTTGTGCAAATTTTTAAGGCAATTTTATCCTTTGTTATGTTAGTACTGAACTACTGATAATATATATTGATTGTATTGATTATAGGAAGTTCGACTTGCTATAGAGTATATTGTGATTCCAAGTGGAGAACCTGTAGAGCTTCTACCTCGATGCTCAGAGATAATAGCTCAACAACTTGAGCTTGTAAAAAGTTATCAACTGGCTGTAGAAAACTCGGGCACTGACCTCAATCCAAGGCTGCAGATTCTACCACAAAAGTTAAACAAGAAATCAGGGAAAAACTCCAAAACTAGTGCAGGCTTCATTGCACCTACGGGTGGTGTTGCAGGTACAAGTGTTGCTAGGCTGCCGCTTTTGCCTGAATAGTGCATACAACAAAGATATTGTCTCTAATTATATAACTTGTTTCACCAAATCATGTATAGTCATTTAAATTATGACCGGTCTGGTGTGGTGGTGGGGCCAGCTTAAGGGTTGTTGACACTTAAATTGTTTGTGTGGCTCGTGATTGGCCCCATGGTTGTATATTATTGTAATGTATATGATGTTGATGTTGATTTGTTATTATAAATGTACAAAATTCACACATTACCTAATGCCTTACTTGTTTATGGTGCCTCTTTCTTTTCGCCATACGGTTTTTGAGGGTTACGTTGTGCTTTACGACTTTCCACTCCACCAAGAAAGTTGTAAAACCATGTATTTATAGATATTACAACTATTTGAATCAAGAGATATTAACAAAACAAATCCTTATAAACGAGCTGATTAACAAAAATAACCTTTTTATTTTGGAATTTGGAAAATAACAATTTTCTCCGAATGTCGCATTGTGGACTAGTGATGTCCGTTCCGGAGGTGGTGGTGGTGGGTGAGATGTGACATAAAGGTATTCTAGAATCTGACATCGTACATTTCAGAGTAAAGTCCAGTCCAGAATGTACAATCTACAAGTAACCGGTGTAATCGGTTTTTTAAGTACATCGTAACATGTGTAATTTTGAGCAATATAATGCAAAATATGTCTATTCACTCTCATTGCCCTTCGCTACAAACATACAAACATAATCTGACATCGTACATTCCAAAGTAGAGTCAGAATTTACAAATGTACAGGTACTCCAAAGTGATGTTTCGAAGTTACTTGTATTCGGTTTTTTAGAGTATTTGTTTGTAGTGAAGGGCAATAAGAGTAAATAGAAATATATTCTTTTATATTGCTAAGAATTACACATGTTACGATGTAGATTTTAGCAATGACATCAACTTTTTTGGGTTGGTTAAGTTGAATGCTTCAAAGTCTAGGTTACGTAGTAATCATTTTCATTTGTCTTTTTAATGTCCTAGATCAAATATAGTTGTTTATCTTATTGACGATATTGATGTTAGATATTTTTTTAGTATTGTAACTAGTATGCCTCCTAACACATTAAAATTGTTTGATGTTAAGCATGTTCAGGAAAATAGTGTTAATCGATTCGAAGGAGAAAAAAATCATTGTCACAATTTTTTTTTGTATGTGTGTGTGTGTGCCGAAGTAATCAAATATGTCATTTATTACCTATGACACTGATTAAGTTCTTTGTTACGGCGGGTTGTAATCGAGGGTGATCTTATGTATAATGGTAAGGATGTTGCTGATGTTGTAACATCTGACGGTGATGAATCAGCAATCGATCTGGCAAAATTGATGATGTTGGTTGATGATGCAAACTTACTTCCACACGGACACGGACAACCGGTGGATTTCTAGTTATTTTCAGAAATTGATGATGATGAATCTGATTCTGGTGAAGAGGAAATTGATCCCCGACAAGCCCGTAAGGATAATTACACATATTATTTTTCTGATTATAAAGAAACAAAACTACTTTGTTAGGGTCAAGCCCAATGATTTGATGAGTCAAAGTGTTATCAGCCGGTTACAATTTAGTGAAAATGTTGGTATAGAGTTTTTGTTACTACTTTAAGATTTTTAATAAGGACCATATCTATTTCAAGTGAACATAGAGTTTCCATGTTTACAGAAAACAACTCCTTGGTCCTTATGGATTGCATGGACGACGACCATACCTAGTATTTATGTAATCCTAATTTTTTTTATTATCAAGACTTTTGTAGTCATTTTAAGAAAAGAGTTCTAAATGAACCCTATTCTTGAGAGTGTTTTAATCAAAATTGGTTTATGATTAATTCTCATGTGTATGAAGTTGTTTCATTGATAAAAGAATCATTTTTTTTGTAGTCCTTCATGTTCTTTATATATTATAGTTGATTGGTTGCATAGTTAAGGAACAAAAACTAGTATTAGAGCGATTTATCTTAAATTCATCTACTTTTGCAATCATCAAATGCTTCTTCATCAAAATCCAACAACTTTTAATAAAACTCCATCAACATGTGTCTATAATTCAACGATAAGAACTTCACCATGTGGTTAAGATAAAAACACATGGTTCTTGAAACTATGGACTATAATATATTTGAAATCATCATTGAAGGGTCATATATTCTTCTGATAAGCATGATTACAGAAGAATGAGTTCCATCTATAACTATCAGATCTCATATGAACTCATGGACTTAAGATGACAAGAGAAAGGTGAATCTTTATGTAAATACAATAGCAACAATCTTTAATGCTTTGTTATATGATGTGTATCATATGGTTGAAAATTGCAACTCAACCAAAGAGATGATCAATACATAGAAGGTGGCTTATGATGGATTTGAAGAGGTTAAGGCTAATCAATAAAATAGCCTTAATCGGAGGTATGAATATTTTTTTCATTTTATAAGAATGAATCTTTAACTCACACATTCAACCTATTTAATTGCTTGGTGATTGATATGAGAAAATTCAATATCAAAAAAAGTAACTATATGCTAGTATTAAAAGTTTTTTGATTCACTTGGTTAAAGATGGGAACACCATGTTGATGTTACTCATTGATCTCCAGAGTATGTTCGGAAATCCAAGGAATTATGAGCAATCAAAATCTTAAAGGTGAGAAAACATTATAGACACTAAGGAGGGTCAAAAATCTTATTTTGTTGCTTTGTTGTCAAGGAACAAGAAACCATTTATGAACCGTTAAGTAAAGAAGAAGCCCAATTTTGAAATAGACGATGAAGGATTTCAAAATTCTCTGAGTTAGCTTCCCATGTTGCCCTAATTATAAAGCATTACACTAGCTTCAAGAATTCCACGAAATTAAGGTTTGGACAAAAAAAGGTTTGAAACTTGCACAAAGAAGGTTGAAGCCGATGCAACTCCTCGAGCTAATAAGAAAACAATCATCTTCAACTGAAAAAAGCTTCAAGTGTAGAGAAACATGGCACTTTCTTAAAGATTATAAAGCTAGAAGAACTTACAAGAAGGAAGATTCATATGAGGCTAAATACAAAAGGCTTGTTGCATCTTTGAAAATGCACATGGGGTCAAAGGTTATCTAGCTGAAGAAGAAATCTTGGAAGATGAAGATACTGATGAACGTACCTGATGATGATACTGATGACTGTACTGGTATAGGGCAAGAATAGAATCGTCTCCCATGGTCGAACGATGTCCATGAGGTGCATACCATAACAAAATTTCCACAGTAGATCACCATCTTCTTGGTTGTGGGTTTGAAATAACGGTTGGATTGGAAAAGACGACAATTAATAGTTGAAATGCAAATATCTGACTTGTCCGTCAACTAGAAAAGAAGAAAATATGCTAAAGAAAACAAATAACATTTTTAACATATATTATACTTAGAGATTAAATCTACAATTAAACTCTTAAATACGAGACATTTGTGTAATTTAAAACTTTTTGAACCTCTGTAAAAAAACCGGTTCACACTTGATGGACCATTTTTGTAGTTTTCTCATTATCTAAAAGCAAACAAAGTTAACAAGACAATAAACAACATAAAGAATAAAACATTCTTAATAAATCAAAATTAAGAAATTTATAAATAATTAAAAGCTATCAAAATATCTTGAATTTGTTCATATACATGAATAACAAATCTATGATTGATTTAAAAAAAAAAATCTTTAACAATAAAAAGATTTTCCAAAAAACAGAAAAAATATTAGTAAATTACTCTTTATTTATATACCAAATTGAAATGGCAAATACTAATTTTGACCTTTTATTGGTGAAACAAGATTCTAAAATCCCATATAAATCATGATATTTCTGGGTTTTTATCTAGATTAGGTTTAATAAGCCCGTGTTCATCCCAGATTTCAGACAAGAAGGAAGATCGTAGGAAACAATACCAATCATGAGATCATACTTTTGCTTCCTTGTCAATTCTTGATTCCTTATAAAGCGGACGGATTTTCTTCCAACTTTCTGCTCTAAAAGACTTCAAACGACCCAAAATTTGTACCAAAGTTCAGATGATTTGCTACTAAAAAAGTGAAGTGAGATTAATCCGAGCTCAATGATGGTGGCTTGGTGGTGTGAAGACCTAATTTTACAGTCTGCAGACGCTTTCAGTTTCCCGATCTCTCGCTCTCTGGATCTCAATCAACAAGGTACGATCTATCAATGTTTGTAATTTCATGTTATGTTCTTTCTATGAAACAACACAGATTATTCAACAACTTACACTTCTCCTCTTTTGTTTGCTCGAAAATGTATTAGGGTTTAAGTTGCTGATGGAATGCTCTCTATGGATATATCTGTATCTGTATATGTAGAACCGTAGAAGTAGAGTAACACAGAGGAAAAAAGCTACGGAAATACCGATTTTAGGGATTAGGTTTTGGATATATCATCACTATGTTTAAGATTATTAAGGGGAAGAAGAAAGGTTCGAAACAAGAAGCCATTGAACCACCTCCAGGGCCTAACCCTTCATCTGATGTAACTGTAAACCACGCTTCTCGTTCAGCTATTGTCATCGACCAACAGCCTATCGTCAGGCCACCGCTAACCACCATTTCCACATCTCCACCACAACCTGGCGTCGTTGAAATCTTACCTATGTTGAAAGATGTCCCTGTAGCAGATCGGCATGTTTTGTTTCTCAAAAAGCTTCAGATCTGTTCATACATTTTCGATTTCACAGACACATTGAAGAACACTATGGAGAAGGAGATCAAAAAGCAGAACCTTTTAGAGCTTGTGGAGTTAGTACAATCAGGTTCAAGTAAGATGAATGAAATCATGCAAGGTGAGATGATCAAGATGATATCTTTAAACATCTTTCGCTGTTTACCCCCTCAAGCACATGAAAACACAGGAACTGAAAATCTTGACCCTGAAGAAGATGACATGTTCTTAGATCCCTCATGGCCACACCTACAAGTTGTCTATGAATTGCTTCTAAGATACGTTGTGTCATCTGATACAGATACTAAAGTAGCAAAAAGATATCTGAATCATTCATTCGTATTAAACTTACTTGATTTATTTGATACAGAAGATCCAAGAGAACGTGAGTATTTGAAAACTATACTTCATAGGGTATATGGTAAATTCATGGTGCATCGACCTTTTATAAGGAAAGCAATAAATAATATCTTTTATAGGTTTATATTTGAAACAGAAAGGCATCCTGGAATTAGTGAATTGTTGGAGATTCTTGGAAGTATAATAAATGGTTTTGCTGTTCCTATGAAGGAAGAACATAAGTTGTTTCTTTCAAGGGCTCTTATTCCACTTCATAAGCCGAAATCTGTTAATTTATATCATCAACAGTTGTCATACTGTGTAACACAGTTTGTTGAAAAGGATTATAAGTTGGCTGATATTGTTATTAAAGGGTTATTGAAGTATTGGCCTGTTACTAATTGTGGAAAAGAAATTTTGTTTCTTGGAGAATTGGAAGAAGTTTTGGATGCTACTCAACCTGTTGAATTTCAACGTGTTATGCTTCCTTTGTTTACAAGAATTGGAAGATGCATTAATAGCACTCATTTTCAGGTTTGTCATTTCTGAATTTCTATTCTTCTTTTTTTTATTTTTTTATTTCAGTTTCAAAATTCAGTTAATGCCTCTGTTTCTTGATTAAAGCAATAGTTTAATTTAACTCAACTAGTGATGTTAATCTCACAAGATAAATTAAGATGGTGTATTCTTTAGGTTTAATAGTGTCGATGTTAAATTTTTAAAGTTGGAATAAACATAATGAAAATTTTATTTTTATGTATCTTTCTTATGGTGTTTATTCCAACTTCTCTGTTAAAAAAAATAATAAAAAATTAGGACTTCATCAAAAATTTTCCAAAATAATGAGATTTTTCTGCATAAAACCGATACTTTTAACTTGACTCTAAACATAACTTGATGTGATAATTAATTAATTTTATATCTACAAAATTGAAAGTTCACACATAATAAAAGCTCATTAACACCCAAATAAGATTATAATATGGAATATACTTTCTAGTTAATTTTAGAAAATAACATTATCATTGATAGTTAAAGTTTAAAAAAAAATCATGAATAAAAATGTATTTCATTTCATTCCATATTGGAATGTTAAAAAATAAAAACCACCCTCGTGCTTAGGAGTAAGGAATGACAATTAACAAAATGGAAAGGAATGGAATGGCCGATTCCATTCCGATCTTTCAATTCCGACGTGTGATGAGTTCTGATTCCATTCCGACTTATTTTGTAGGTAGCGGAACGCGCACTTTTTTTATGGAACAACGAACGCGTAGTGACATTGATCGCACAAAATCGACACATGATTTTGCCCATAATATTTGAATCATTAGAGAAGAACATACAAGGTCATTGGAATCAGTCAATCAATGAGTTGACCACAAATGTCAGAAGAATGTTCATTGAAATGGACCCCGACCTCTTTGAAGAATGTCAGACTCGCTACATGGATAAAGAAGCCATGGTCAACGAAAAAGTCAAGCAACGTGAGTTGACTTGGAAGAAACTTGAGTCAATCGCCTCATAATTTTCATGTATTTTTTTTTTAAATTTATTTTATCGTTGTTTTTCTGTTTAGTGTGCTTACCGGTTCTTAAATTCATAGTATACTTTTAATAACGGAATTTTAAAGATATTAAAATTAGTTTTGCATTATTTTAATTCGGTTTATTTATTGTGTGAATAAATATACTTACGTGTGTTATGCCCTATTTTAGGGCAAATTGTCGTTTATTTTTACCCATACTTTATTTGTTATATATTGTTATTTATCTTTAAAGAAATGTAAATATATTGCTATTAATAGTAAGAAACTATAAGTATGTTATTACTCTATACAAATTATATAAATAATTTTTAATTAGCAATTACGTATTGATATTATTGGTTACAAAAGTAAGTTACATGGTTATTATGGGTAAAAAATGCAAATACATTGCTAATACAGATAACAAATAAAATACATTGTCTATATTGGTAAATTGAGTAAAGTAAGTTTCTATTCTTTGAGTAAGTTCCATTATTTTTTGGAATTATTTTGAATTTACAGATACAATCATCAAAATTCATTTGGGATGTTATTTATAATGATAGCGATTGATTACCTTCAAAATCTGTAAAAAGATGTCAACAAAAAAGTGATGTGGCTTTTGTTTTGACAAGGCATACAACTGTGCCCCAAACACTCGACAAGGCATGTGGATTTTTTTTTTAATCTCTCACTTTGTTCTTTATCTACCAACTTTGTTATCCAAAATTGTTCAATCATGGATTATTAGTATGTTTTCATGGGATTTGACATTTCAGATGGAAAGTTGAAAATAAAGTTTTAATAATCTTATAATTTTAAACTGAAGATAGTTGAGTTAATCGGGACTATGTAAGAGAAACTATGAAAATTTGTTATAAGTTACAAATATGATAATGACTTGTAAGTGTAGATTATTACACCCCATGTACACGATTCATCATTTTTTTTGTAGATCAAACTAAAGTGATTTTTTTTATTGAAATTACTTCATTATGATAGGCTATATCATGTTAAACCGGTCATGACCCGAGTTGGGTTTCCGGTAGGAAGAAAAACCAAAAATTTATGTTTCTTCTTCAAATGTATCGTCATTAGATATTTAAACTTGTTTTAGCAAGTTGTTCAACTAAAGAACCTTATTGTAACTTCATCGTTGGTGATGTTAATGGTGGTGATTGGTGAATTTTCAGTAGAGGGGCGATCCTGATCAACAACTTGGTAAATGGTCTTAGAAACCCTAATTTGTGTTATGACAAAAGTAATCAAATATTAAATTGGGCAAACAGAAACATAAATAAATCAAATTAATATACAAAGACTCTTAAATCAAAAGAACATACTTGTATTTGGATGTTTACAACAATTTCACTATTCACGTAAATAAGTAGAGATTGAGGCCTGCTTTGTAGTGTCCTAAGACAGAAATTTCCCTGGTAGGGATCTGTCTATAGGATACAACAATCCGATCAAGATTCAATCTTGATCCTGACGAAATTCTTCATGCTTCCTTGATTTCCTAGAAAAAACGAGAGTGAAAGAAGTGGTGTTATTGTGTATGTGATCAACCCTTTAATCTGTCAATTGATCATCTATTTATAGCCTATCAAATAGCAGTTAAAAACTGCCAACCATCATACCTGTTCCAAAATCGAAATTAACTGCCTAATTAACTTTCAATAAGTTAATTAACAATTAACAGATTTTGTAATTAAAAAATCAATTTCGGAATTTGTGTATATAAAAATTAATTAATTAGTCAAGAAGAGCCCCAAGGCCCAAGGCCCTCTTTTGACCATTAATTATATTTAATGACAAACTTAATCCAAGACTAATTTGATAGCCCAATACCACAAGTCTAGCCCAAATGCCCTTTTGTCTTGCTTTATCCATTTAAGAATATGTGGAGACAAAGGCTTATAAAGCTAGTCAAGGTTCTTTCTTTCTCCAATGTGAGATAATGCTTTTAGGCTATAACCAAAGTTCCAAAAATACCTCACATTTTCTATTAAAACTCCAACAATACCCCACATTTGAATAGAAAATAAGAGAATTTTGATATTCAAATAAGGAAAGTAGAATATGATATGCATCTGAAGAGGTGTTTTAAAAACTTGAACCTTTCATAGTGTATACTATTTGCATCTACTTTGTGGCTAGTGAACTAGAGTCTTGAACTAACCACTTTGTTTAGTAGAGTCAAAACAAAAGGTATCACACATATCATATCTAAAAATGGATCATTTCTTATCGTTGTGTTCATTTCGGTCGTGAACAATCCTTTCTTCATGAGACTTCTATAGAGCTTAGCCATATCAGCTCCCAAAGATGCGACCTCACATCCATCTCACATAGGTAATGATAATCTAGAACAATCCGTATTATTGCACTATAAGAGCTATCAACATTATTAAGAATAAAACTCATCCCTATATCATCAACGAATAACGCAAATAAGTATCATAGGAGTGAGCATACCTTTGTGTTAGTGCTACTTTGAGTCTTCCCCAACTAGTTGGCCTATTGAACCTAAACCATTGCTAGGTTAGATTTCCGCCAGGTGGCGACTCATTGTATTGGCTGTAAGCCCATTCCCCTCGATGAGAAGAGAACTTGCTCTCTACTAAGGCCTTTTGTCTAAGGATCAACTATATTTTCCTTCGACTTTATGTAACTAATGGAAATTATTCCATTCTTCAGCAGGTCTCTTATTGTAATGTGTCCGCGCCTAATGTGTCTTGACTTGCCATAGTATATCTTACTTTGTTCTCTAGTGAGATCAGCCATGCTATCACAATGTATACCGATGGCAGTAACAGGTTTAGGCCACACAGGAATACCTTCTAGGAAGCTTTTAAGCCATTCAGCTTCTTCAACAGGTTTATCTAAAGCAACAAGCTATGCTACCATTGTAGAGCGAGTATTCACAGTTTGCTTAGATGATTTCCAAGAGATAGCGGCTCCACCAAGAGTGAACACATATCTACTTGTGGATTTTGCCTCAGAAGTATTGGAAATCCAATTTGCATCACAATATCCTTCGAGGCCAGGAGGATATCTCGTGTAATGCAATCCATAATCCATTATATGATTTAAATATCTAAGCACTCTCACTAATGCATATCAATGATATTTCCCAGGATTGTGGGAGTAATGATTCAATCTACTTACACTGTATGCCAAGTCCGGTATAGTACAATTTATAATATACATTAAGCTACCAAGAACTTGAGTATATTCTAACTGAGCTACACTATCACCTTTATTCTTCTTAAGATGACTTGAAGGATCAAAAGGGGTGACTACCGACTTGTTATCATAGTGTCCAAACTTCTTGAGTACACTTTCAATATAATGGGAATGAGTAAGAGTATATCCATCTGGTCTTCTTTGAACTCTTACACCAAGGATCATATCTACTACTCCAAAGTCCTTCATGGAAAAGGAGGAGTGTAGCATTTTCTTGGTTTGATTAATCACATCCAAACTAGTACCCATTATAAGCATATCATCCACATACAAGCATATGATGACACAAGCATTCTTGTATTGTTTGAAATAAACACATTTATCACATTCATTAATTCTAAATCCATTAGAGAATAATGTGTTGTCAAACTTCTCATGCCATTGCTTTGGATCCTGTTTTACTCCATAAAGTGATCTAACTAACTTACATGCTTTGTTTTCTCGACCTTTAACCACAAACCCTTCAGGATGATTCATATATATCTTTTCATCTAGTTCACCATACAAGAAAGCAGTTTTCACATCCATTTGGCGTATTTCCAAATTGTGAATGGCTGCAATTGCTACCAATGTACGAATTGATGTAATTCTTGTAACAGGTGAATAGGTGTAAAAGAAGTCTTGACCCTCCTTTTGACGATACCCTTTAGCTACTAAACGAGCTTTGTACTTCTCAATGGTACCATCAGGTCTAAACTTCTTCTTGAATATCAATTTGTGCCAAATTGGGTTTTGCCCAGGTGGCAAATCTACCAATTTCCAAGTGTTATTCTGCACAATGGAGTCAATCTCACTTTTGATTGCCTCTTTCCAAAAAGGAGCTTCAGAAGAATCCATAACATCCTTTTAGGTTTGTGGTTCTTTATTCACTACATAGGTCATGTAATCAGGTCCAAAATCTTTGGCTATTTTGCCCAGTTTGCTTCTTCTAGGTTCTAAGTTCTCTTCTTGAACCTTTGAAGAACTCTCTTCATTTGACTATAAACTTTTGTCAAGAATAGTATCATTCAGTCCATCATCTAGAGGTCTTTTCCTAGAACAGGTAACCTCTTTCCATTTATCCTTAAAAGGAAAAATATTTTCAATGTTGATTCCATGATGGTTTGGTTATGGATATCATCAACATGTGATTTATACACAAGAAACCTATAGGATGCACTATTCATGGCAAGGCCAAGATAGATGCAATATATGGTTTTTGCCTTTTTGGTCCAAGTTTAGTCCTCTTAGGAAGAGGTACTTGTACCTTAGCAAGGCAACCCCGCACTTTCATCCTTTTGTAAGAGGGTAACCTCCCTTTCCACAGATGATAGGGTGATTTATCATTCTTTTTATGAGGAATTCTATTAAGTATTGAATTTGCCGCAAGACATGCTTTTCCCAATAGATTATGTGGTGCTCCAGAAGTAATTAACATTGAATTAATCATATTTTTCAATGTTCTATTCTTTCTCTCTGCCACTCCATTTTGTTGAAGAGTATATGGAGCAGTTGTTTGATGTATAATACCATTTAAAGAACAAAATTAAGCAAAGTCTTTGGATTCATATTCTCCTCCTCGATCAGACCTTAGAATTTTGATCTTTTTGTCAAGTTGATTTTCAGCTTCAGCCTTGTAATTCTTAAAAGAATTCAAGGCTTCATCCTTGGTATTTAACAAATAAATAAAACAATACTTGCTGCAATCATCAATAAAGGAAACATAATAATTTTTTCCTCCTCTTGTAGGTGTTGCTCTAAAATCACATAAATCAGAGTGGATTAAGCCAAGTATTTCATTAGATTTTTCAACTGATTTATGAGGATGTTGCGAAAATTTTGACTCTACACAAACCTCACATTTTATGTTTTATCTAATGAACATTTTGGTAACATGCCAAGTTTTTCCATTATTTGAATAGAACGAAAATG